AGGCAGCCATAAAACAAAACAAAACAAAACAAAAAACAGATCACTGATAGAAAAACTGTGGCACTGGATTGGTGGAGAAGTTCTTCTCTGGGATATATGGGTGTTCTGGAGTGCAGTACAGGGAAAGTGCAAAGATGGCATTTACCAAAAAAGGAAAGAGTAAAGAAGACAGAAGAAGAAAAGAAAGGAAAAAAAAAAAAAAAAAAAAAAAAAAGATGTCACCTGCTGGCTTTGGCAAGGCAGAAGGAGAGCATGCAGGAACGTGTCCATTATCTGAAGCATAATGGTGACACCCACAGGAGAGGGAATAAAAAGATGGTAACTTCCAGCTTTAGCAAGATGGGGAGAGCAGGAAGATGTCACCTACTCCTCTGATTCTGTAGGATAATCTAGTAGGTCTCTGCCCCACCAGACCAATGCTTTGAATTAGGAAATGAGTCATTTTACCCAAATTCTGAGTGGTTTTTAAAGGACTACTTCTGCATTGGGCCCAGGATGGGTGAATCTGCATGTAGGCTCTTTTAAGGAGCTGAATTTGATAGTTCATAGATCTCCATTTCTTTAGGGCCAGTTATTGGAGTTTTACTAGTTTCTGTGTTATATTTATTTGATTTTTGTCATCTTTCCTTCCTTACATTGGTATCTGCACATTTGGCTAAACAGTCTCCTTTTCCAGACTTTATAGGTTCACCTTGACAGAGACACTTCTCCAGATAGCTCAGTTTGGGTATCTAGATGTGTCTGCTGATAATGTCCTTGGGCAGGTGGTACCTGCTATTAGGGTCTATTTTTGGTGAGGCAGTTGTTCTAGCTCTGAGTGTGTACCACTGGCTGAGAAGAGTTAGATAGGACTCCTGGCTTGGTTTCTTACTTGGCTTGCCCAAGTGAGATTGGAGTGTGGGCTCTCTGGTTAGGCCTAGATCAGTCTCTGGTTAGACTTATTAGGTGGTTGGGATTTGGTACTATACTCAGCAGTAGATGAAGCTTTGAATTAGTTTCTTTGCCCTAGCAGGACAGTAGGAGAGGAGTCAGGGCTTGCACATCTCATTATTTGGTGACTGAATATCCTAGTCAGCTGAGGTGACCCATTTCGCTCTGCAGACGGAGAAAGCCATGGGCTGTGCTCTCTATTCAAGTGCCACTATGAGCAGAGCTTTTGGATGGAATACACAGTTTCTTGTGTGCTCTAGGGTAAGATTCTCAGGTTGGGCAGGCTGAAGTCAATATTCAGCAATAAGTACAAATCAGTTTCCTTGCCTAGGTGCAGTGAGAGAAACAGTTCCAAGTCCACTTAAGTTCGTTGTTTGTGGCCTTGACTCAAACTGCCCCATGCTGAAAGCTCCCTGGCTGAACAGGACCACTGCCTTTCTTTGGGAGCAGTCAGCTCTATCTGCCTGCCACTCATTTTTGCTGGGTTACACAGCAGCTTCTGGGTATTCTCAGCAGCCCTTTCTGTCTGATGAAACCAGGGATCATGCTGTGCGGCATGTGGGGCTATGACTTAGCTCTCCTGTGGGTGGACCACTCTAGACAACTCCCAAGTTTTCCTAAACAGGTTTTCCCATTGAGAGGGACCAGGAGCTATAGTGAGCAGTGGTGAAGCTATGAATTAATTCCCTTGACTGGGCAAAGCAGGGGAACCCTCTAAACCGGGTGATATATTTGCTCTTGGGGTGAATCAGCTCTGCCCACCTCCCTCTTAGCTTGAGTGTTGCTAGTGTTCCCTGCCTGTCAAATGGTGCCGGAAGCCATGCTTTAGGTGGTAGGGCTATGACTTCGCTCCCATGCAATGGCATACTAGGGCCAGAAAATCTCCCTGTTTAAGTTCATCTTACTTGGGTTCCCTTGTGCATGTATGACAGGGCCTTTTTCTTCTGCTATTTTCAGGATTTTCCCTTTGATTTTGGATATCGGCTATTTTTTTCTAAAGATTTTATTTATTTGAGAGAGAGAGAGAAAGAATGGAAGAGAGAGAGAGAAAGAACACACACAGGGAGAATGAGAGGGAGAAGAAGACTTCCTACTGAGCAGAGAGCCTGATGCTGGTCTCAATCTGAGGACCCTGAGATCATGACCTGAGCCAAAGGCAGATATTTAACTGACTGAGCCACCCAGGTGCCCCTGGATTTCAGCTATTTTACTACGATGTATCTGGATATGATTTTTATGCATTTATTTTACTTACAGTTTTTTTGAGCTCTTGGATGTGTAGATTAATGTTTTTCATCAGATTTCAGAAAGTTTTAACACTTCTAATATTTTTTCTGTCTTTTTTCTCTCTCTCCTCTGGTAAGTCCTATTACTCATATGTTGGTGGGTTTCTGATTTTTTTCTTTTTCTAATTTAAATCTACTGTTGAACTACTCTAGCAAAATTTTCATTTCAGTTACTGTACTTTTCAACTGCAGAATTTTCATTTGGTTCTGTTTTATAGTTTCTATGTCTTTATTGATAATCTCTATTTGAAAAGATCATGTTTTTATACCTTTCTTATTTGGGGTTTATTTCCTTTAAACATATTTATAATAGTTGTCTTTAAGTATTTATCTGTTATGTCTGAGATTTGTGCCCTTTCAAAGGCAGTTTCAAAGGCTTATGCTTTGCTTATACTTTTGTGTTTCTTTGCCTCATAATTTTTTGTTGAAAACTGGACATTTTAAATAGTATATTGTAACCACCCTTGGTTGATCTCCTTACCTGGACTTGTTTATTTGTTTAATAACTTAGCTAGACTATTTTAGTAAACTTTATTTGCCCCGCATTGGGTAGCCTCTGGTATTGCTCCTTAAAGGGCAAACTTTTAGCCAGGTGCCGTCACCCTTGGAATGACAGTGATTTTAGTGCTCTTTGAGTGCTAAAACTCTTTTGAGTTTCCCCTTTTCTGATTTCTTGTTGGGCTATTCTGAAGGTATAACACCTATTATTAACTTTAACTAATTGCCATCTGACTACTCTATTGTTTTCAACAATTCCCTGGGAAATAAATTGCTCCACAGTGTGATCTTTTAAAACTGAGCTCTTTTCAAAAACTGATCTTTGAGGCCAGTTTTTGCAGTTTCTTCAGATCTCAGAAGGGCTCTTCTTAGCCATCTCTTTTGGTTCTCTCTGATAAACCTCAAGATGGTTTAGTTTAGCTTTCTACTCTCTTAGAGCAACCCTTCTCCTTGTGTTTATCACTTTCTGAGGGCAAGAGCTATCAGTTCCAGTGTTCTCTCCCTGTTGCACCTGAGTTAAAGCTTCTACCTTATAAGTGAGTTCTGAGAGGAGGAAGAGAGCCCAAGTTCTCTCAGACATTCTTGCTTGAAATAGATTCTCTAAAACATGGATCCAGGCTAGGGTATTTCTTGCAATGACTCTGTAGCCCTTGACTGGAACTAGGTAGGGAAGGGATCCTGTGTTTCTCAGTTTTGCCTCTTTGGATTAGAACTTCTGGTAGTCTAAACTTAGGTCAGGGGAGACAGAGAGAAAAGAGACCGTGAGTTGTTTAAATCCAACAGTGTCTCACTGTTCTTACTGAGCTATAATAGATTTTATTGAATAAATATTTGTTTATTTGCTGTATGCCCTTAGGATAATTTCCAGAGATTTTAAATGGTTGTCTCACTGGGGAGAGGATCCACAGAACTCCTCACAACTGTATCCCAGAAACTGTCTCCCTAATGTGATTCTATTCAAAGCTACTTTTTTTCTAAAAACTCAACAGTGATTGTCCATTCCAGTGACCTATGCCAAATATATTCTTGCCTCCTTAAGCATACTTCTGACTGGCTTTTTGTACCTGCTGTTTGCTCTGCTAGAATTTTTGTTTCCTGAAATTCCCACATTATCTTGTTTCTTTTCAGTATTACTGTCCCAATCCAGCCTGTGTGAAAAGCAATTCACTCATATCTCTAGTGTTTTATTTCTGTATTATCTATCTCTACTTAATTTTTTTAAAAGATTCATTTATTTATTTGAGAGAGAGAGCTGGCAACAGCGATAGTGAGAGAGAGAGCAGGAGCAGGGAGGAGAGGGAGAAGCAGGATCTCCACTGAGCCAGAAACCTGACAGGGCTAGATCCCAGGACCCTGGGATCATGACCTGAGCCAAAGGCAGATACTTAACTGACTGAGCCACCAAGTTCCCCTATCTATCTCTACTTTTAAGAGAATATAAGCTTCATGATATTAAGGAGTTTTTTCTCTTCACAGAGCACATATTGGTTACTTACTTAATAAAAGATTTTCTTTGAAAATCCCTTGTTTCTTTCTTCTTTTGGCAGTTATTGACCACTAACTACTAACTAGTTAGTAACCACTAACCACTAATATGAAAAATTGTTTTCCTTGGTTAATTTTGTTTTACCTCTGCTAATTAATAATAATGGCGACTGTTATCTTTTATAATTTTTTTTCAGTGTTCCAAGATTCATTGTTTATGCACCACACGCAGTGCTCCATGCAATATGTGCCTTCCTTAACACCCACAACCAAGCTCACCCAAACCGCCACCTCTGTCCCCTCCAAAACCCTCGGTTTGTTTCTCAGCGTTCACAGTCTCTCATGGTTTGTCTCCCCTTTCGATTTCCTCCAACTCACTTCTACTTGGTTCATCACTTTAATGCAAACAAGTTTACTCTTTCATTACATAGAATGAGTGTTACTGACTTCTGCACTGGAACAGAAAAGTCAAAAGATTTCATACTGGTTATCTTATATTTCTATAGATAATTTAGTCATGTTCTTCTTGCCATTATATTATAAAATACATAGTTAAACACGAGTACAGAATTGTTTGTGGATTCATATCACCAGAGATTTCTCAGCACTCATTCATTCCTTGGTGAAGGTTGATGAGCAAACCTTAGTGCCTAAGTAGTTTTATATAATAGTAATTTGAAAACAAATATTACATTAAATTTACTACCCTGTTTTCAAAGGTGTACGTGAACTCATGAGTAGTTTTCTTTCCTTTCTTTATGGCAAAAAAACTAAATGACAATTTTCCCCCCTTATACTCAGCCCCTTGTTGCTGTGCAAAAAACACGAGGAGAAACTTATTGGTGAATGTGAAACAAAATGGTTTTACATACACAAAGGATATGAAGACAGGCTCTTTAAGAATCTCTTTTTACAACCTGAAACTAATATAATGGGAAAGCTTACACATTGGAAACATGTAAGTATAATTAGTTTATTACTTATCTTTAAAATATTTTTATTTAAGATACTATAGCTATAATTTATGTAGCATTTGTAAAATCTCTTCATTCTCTTTTAAATATTTTCCATTATATTGTTAATATTCTGCTTGAGATTTTCTCAGTAAAAGAAACGTCATATAATAACAACACAAATATAATTTTTGTGGTGCGTAATTCTTATTACAACCATTTTTATATTTATGTTTTATATATTTTTCTTGTATTGATTATTACAAGTAGTTATTAACATTAATGTAAAAATCTCTACATAGTAGTTGAAAACTTTAAAAAGTAGTTTATTAAAGACTGATAATACTGTATGTATTCATTCATTGTTTTTGCTAAGTTATGTATTGCTTTGAGGACATGTTGAAAATAGAAGCTTTTATTTATTGAGTGCCTACTATGTATCAGGCACTGTGCTAGATATTTTGCATGTGTTCTGTAATTTATTCTCCACAACACTGTAAGATAGATATTTTTATCTCATTTTTATAAATAGGGAAAGTAAGGCTCTGATGGGGGCATAATTGAGTGGCATTGCTAAAACTTCAGGTTTTCTGACTCCAGGATTTGTGCTTTTTTTAATCTTTAGAGTTTTTTTTTTTTTTTAATTTGGATATTATATAATGGTAGAAATGAAGACTTGGCATTGTGTTATAACTAACTAGAACAAACTTTTAATGTGTAAAGCACTGTTTGTGGTAATCTTCTTCACAAATGAGACTGTTTCTAAGTAGCTTGCACTACAAGTGTTTCCATTATATTAACATGATTAGAAAGGACTACAAAAGGTCCAGACTCTCATTAGTCTGATTTCAGTGTTATTGAGGACATGTATTCTAGAAATAGCACAGGAATATCTTTAAGCCCTTAAAACCCACAAAAAAATTACTCATTGAATTAAAAATATAGGTTTAAAGGCATATGTATCCCATTCAAAACTTTTTCCTTATTAGCACATAGTGCCCACTGTATTAATTTGCTCTATATGATACTATGTTTTATAAAAGAATGATGCTCATTTGAAGTGTCTTTTGGTCCTCTATGTAGAATATAAACTCATTAATTTCAGGCATGAAACCTGCTTTTTTATATGCTTTATGCAGAGGAGACTTTCACTGACTATTGCATATGGTACATAATCAATTGACAATGATTTGGGTATATATTATGTATTTATAAAATATTTACACACATATACATAGGCATATATCCAAATGCAAAATATTATGTACATATATGGGTATATATGTATATATGGGTATATGTTGTTATGGTAAGTGACTACTATGTGTACATAAATAGAAATAAAATATTCATATTATAGAGACATTTTATTTAATATCTGTGAAGTTTAGGTAGAATATATCACTGTCACAAAATATTTTGAATGTTAAGAAATATTGGAAATATATTCACTATAAGGAGTTTTCTAAAGCTCTTTAATATCATTGGTAATTCTGCTAACCATGTCACTATTAATGTTAAGAACTATTCTTTCACATTCTATAAATATGTACAGTGTCCTATGCTTTTTCACTCTTTATAGCTACTACTTATAAAACATTATAGAAGTAGCTCAGCTCAATTTCTCAAGAGTAATTGAAATTATTCTAACTTGTAAGATTCATCTTTGAGTCTTTACTTTTTCTGTATAAAATTGTTGTTCCATCTTCTGGTGGCTTCATTTGTAGTCTCCTCTTTAGCTCACTTATTTGGTGTACTATTCTTTTGTTATTTTTCTTTCTTACATATCTAGTCATTAGTGACTTAGTGCTTGGTTAATTAGAAACTGTAGTGAGAACAAGTGATGCCGTAGAGTGCCTTAGAGAACCTAGGATCCAAGAAACATTTAAAAGAGCTGAGAAGTAGGGGAAAGGGAGGAAGTAATAAAATACCAGTATTTAAGACTGGGAATTTATTTTAAAAAGTGCTATGATCAAATAATGGAAAGGATTAGCAAAGAGAGGAATTCAAGTTTTAGTAACTAGATAAGTAATCAGTATCTCTTTTTCTCCTGTTTGGGGATGGAAAGAGGTAGAGGAGTGAGTTCAAGTTACATTTATTTAAGAAATGCTGTGCTGCAAAGCTAGAAGTTCATATAAGCATCCAGAATTTATGGTGCATGCTTAAGCTATTGAAGGAGATACAGAACCAAAAGTCAGGATTCATCAGTAAGGAATCTGATTAAAAAAAAAAAAGTGGATCAGAGGAAATTGAGGATCTGGAACAATTGCTAGGGACATTATTTACCTATGGCTTACATGGTCAAATGGTGATTGGTCCTTTTGCAGAGGAGGAACTTGGATACAGAATTATGATGGTCAATTAGATCAAGTTTTGGGGAAGCTTATATATTATAATGGATTTTAGGGAAATTTAGATACTCTTATGATGGATTTTGCTAGGATACCCTAGAATACTTGAAATTTTCTTTGATGTAGTCAACCCTTTTCCTCAAAAGTTATTGTGGAAAATATATGTCTAGGGAGTAATAGCAAACAAAGCAGTTTCTAACTGGGATGTTGGCCTGAAATTCCATTGAAAAATTTTAGTAATTTTGGCTAGACTATAAGATATTCTTCATTATTTATGCTTTGTTAGCTTTGTATTATTCTTTCACTTATTTCCTATATTGCAAACATAAATTTTAGAAGAGATACAGTATGAGAGAGAGTCACACCCATTGGAGCCGAAAGGGAAGAGATTCAGAGGAGAGGAAAGCAATTTGCCATGTATTTATCTCAGAGGCAGCCTAGTTGCTCCCTTTTCTCCTACCTACCCTGACACCCTCACATCTGAAGCTTCCTTAAGCTGGCTTAGTCATATGTTGTTAGGAAGGAGAGAAAGCATCTCAGAGATAAAAAGGAGCGATGGCCAGGAATCTTAAGTTTCAGCCTCATGGAAAGAAAGAACAAATCTGTCTTGTAATCTCAATCTTCTCTGACAGCCTACCTCCTAGAATCATGATCTATTTTTTTTTCTTAGAACTTGAGCAACACCTTCCCTTCTTGAAGCATGGAGGTTGGAATTACATAACCTTTGTTTTGACACATTTTCTGGAGTGGGTGGATATGTTCTCGCTAGCTAGCAACAAAATGAGGAGAGGGATCAATAAGGCAACCCAATCCAATTTTTCTGGAAAGGATTTCTTACTTGGAACCACTTTTAATACATTGGATATTCACATATTGTACTCCTTTATGCCATTGTAAGTTTCCTGGAGACACTGAACATAATCTAATATGGCAGTCATCTATACTAAAGTAAAATTTGCTTTAGATAGCTGATTTGGTTGAAATTTAGAAAATTTTTATTGATTTTTTTTTCCTTTCTTCCAAAACTTTTTCTCATAACTAATGCTGATGGTATACACATGCCATATTGAACACCATTTTCATAAAACAAAATAGAACATGTTTTCAAATACAGTCCTCTGAACCTTTTCCACTATTATTAAATACATTTTTCTAAAGATATATAGACTTTCAGATTGGCTTCTTTCACTTAGTAATATGCATTTATGTTTCCTCCTTCTCTTCATGGCTTATTAGCTCATTTCCTTTTATCACTAGATATCATTTCATTGTCTGGGTGTACTGCAGTTTATCCATTCATCTATTGAAGAACCTCTTAGTTACTTCCAAGTTTTGGCAATTAGGAACAAAGTTGCTATAATCATCCCTGTACAGATTTTTGTGTGGACATAAATCTTCAGGCTATTTAGGTTAATATAGTGGAGCATGATTGCTGAATCATATGGTAAGAATATATTTAGTTTTGTAAAAATCTGCCAAGCTGTCTTCCAAAGTGGCTGTACCATTATGCATTCCTATCAACAATGAATGAGCTCTCATTCATTGCTCCATATCTTTGCCAGGATTTGGTGGTTCCAGTATTCTAGATTTTGGCTGCTCTAATAGATGTCTAATAATGTCTTGTTGCTTTAATTTGTAATTTTTTAATGACATATATTTTCATGTTTATGTATATCTGTATATATATTGCCATCTGTACATCTTTGTGAGCTGTAGTTCTCTTTTTACTATTAAAAGATGAGTTGATTTATCACATGTCCTATGTGAGTTAGAGGGAAGAAAAGGGCTCACCTTAATCAGGGCTACTGTGCAGTGTACAAGTGCATTTACATCATCGTCTATGTAGATGATGTTCCCTGGGGTTCTGCACAGCACAACTTGCATGGAAGGATGAGTTTGCCCTAATTTTATAAATCCAAGTAACTAATCATATATGAGGATTATTTTTGTGTGTGTGTGCACCTACTTTAAATTCAGGTAAATATGGGAGTAGAGGGAGAGAATAAAATAAAATAAAAATAAATTAAAAAAGAATAATAACCAGAATAATAATATTACATGCCAAGAAATACTGAATTTACTTTTGCCCTCTTTTTCTAGCTCAACAGTAAGTGATAGTAAGCAAATATAGGGAGGGCTGATCTTATATTGGATTCAGGAGATATGGATTTGGTCACCTCATTTTAATTATGAGGTGTTAAAAAGAAACTTAAAGATAGGTATTTTATTTTTAAATTTCATTTTTTTTTTGTGAAATAAGAGTGCTTTTTTATACTGGAAACTGCTCTTTATTTTCAATGTGTTTCTGTAATGTTGTTCCAACTTATGTAATTCTATAAGAAAGAAGCTTTATGATGATAGTCTTTAAAAATTGCCCTTTGTTATTGTCTGTCATTTTGGGGCCCCATCAGCAATTCAGTTCATTTCAAATGGGTATCTTTTGAATATTTACAATATCCTTAGCATTGAAAGAAACTCTGAAGCCTTAGAAAATTGTAATCAAACATGTTCTATTCTGGAACTTTTAGGGAGAGAGGGAAGAGCTAGGAAAAACTCACTGGGTAGGGACTGACGTATATAAAGTGTAGAACTGAGAGAAGTATACAAATTCAAATCTATTTTAGTTGCCTACATCTAATGGGTCTGACCAAAAG